TAAACATCACTTCTGTGTTCAGTTGTGTCAAAGACTCCGTGATGATGTGATGAAATTAAACTTCCCTGACCGCTGCCAAAAGATCAAAGAATTAAAAGCAGCCTCTTTGCTGTTCTCAGATCTAAAGTTAGAGGACTGATAATGTTAAGTGTCTCCATGTCACCAGACTTCTTTCATAATTGTCATCTAAATTGTCTTCCACACCAGCAAAATAAATTGCAAGAGCATTGGGAAGCGTTCAGTGAAGGGTCACAGAAGCTTCATGCTGGAGTACTGTCAAAACACCACTGCAGTGCTGCTATTTTTGACTGGCTGGTTCAGCTTTACCTACTGACAGATTTTTGTCACTTGTATTTTGGCTGAGAAAGAGAAGCTGTCTGTTGTCTCTGAGGCACTACGCTAAGAATGTAGCACAACCAAACCTGTAAGGCACAACTGCCTTCATCTCAGAATCTATTCCAGGAAGGGTTTTTTTGGGGCACAGTAGCATGCAAATGCTACTGTGCAAACGTCAAAGAAACTCTGTAGGCAAAAGTGCTGACAGGAGAAGGAGACAGAAACCATTCAGCGGTACGTGTCTGCGAGGTGGCTTCAGGCTTGAGACACCAGTGATGTGTTGCTGCTGGAAAAGACTGCTCTTCTGGGGCTCTGTGATTTTTCTTCAGGAAGCGATTTCATGGATTAAAATAACACTCTGGATCCTGTTGCAAATTAGATGGGAAAGAGATGCGCTTGCTAAGCACAGGTACACTGCGGCTGGCTGTACTAACTCAGCCGGTTTTTTCATCTTGGTCCAGCTCTCTAAACCAAAGTTAAACAAGTTATTAGTTTTCAGTATGTGAACTCCTCTATCTTTTCCAGTGGAGACACGCATCTCAGCTTAGTAACTTTAAGCCTATTGGCGAGGTGCTTGCCTTGTTGTTGCCTCTGCAAGGCTCTTAAAAGTATTGCTGTCCCTTTCCCCGGGGGTCTGCAGGCCACAGACTGGAAGCCATTGTGTTAAGCTAACGTGAAGGATAACAAAATATATGTCACAGCAGGCAGACTCCTACCTGAAAGGAGACAGGGCAAGTCCCTGGTCAGCTGGAGATGGAGACAGCATTACTTTTGTAAGCCACAAGCTCTTTTGACTGCAGTCTGAGCTGAAAGATTTGTGATGCTTTTGCAGTCTGTTGGCTCTATCACAGGTAGCCTACCTCTTTATTAGCAAGGATGAAATTTATATTCATAATCATAAAAAGTTTGGGTTTGTTTTTTTCCCACATAAAGTCTAAAGCTAAAAGAGACCACTTTATTGGTGCCCGCAGAGCTTGAGACAGTAGCTCCAACAAGACATATGAACTGTCTCAGTTTGTTTCCATCTTATACCTTACGGCAGATCCTAGGAAGAGTAGCCTGCAGGTAGATGGAGGAGTCACTGTTTGTCCTGGATAGGCTCCTTGACACAGACCTAACCTAGAGAAGGCTCATTTATAGAAAAAGCAAATTAAGCCTTCCTTAGGCTTCAGAGCTTCGAACTGTGTAATCAATTCAGAGTCAACCAAGGCAGATATGAAAAGGCATGTACCTTATCTTATCTGTAGATCTTTACTCATAGGACAGACCAAATCCATGCTGTTTACTACAAGTATCTACTGGTGCCCTTTCAGATTGTCATTTAAGTCACTCTGAACTGCCTTCATAAAGACTGCTTGTCTCCACCACTGCTTTCTTTATATTGAATCCAACCTAGCAATGGGAGGAGAGTTGCCTTCCTTTTTCCTAAACTTGTAGTGTTCTGAGGTTATTCAGATACTTGCTTTGAGATTTTCATTCACTTAACACCAATTGCTGTGCTGGAATTATTTTGCTTTGCATTATGCCACCAGACCAAGTCTTTCCAGAACAAATCTGTGGAACTAAGTGCCTGTGTTAGTATATGGGCTCCTGAGAAGTACAGGACACCCTCTTGTTCTCAGATCCCATGGCCACATCCTTAAACTTTTTAAGAAGTCAAGCTACTAATTTATCATCCTCTCCTGAATGCATCACCTTTTGTTTTCTTAGCAACTTTTCAAGAATTCTAAAAGGTTTTAAAAGTTTAAAGACAGTTTACACTTAAACTGTAGAAATAAATTTAAAGGAGTTTAAAAGGAGTTTTAAAGAACAAAATTTAAAGCATTTAAGAACTCTTTAGCTTGCTTGGAAAACAGGGAATGGGACTAGATGGTCTCCAAGGGTCTGTTCCAGCCTAAGTCTTTCTATGATTCTGAATCTCATGAGAAAGTTTTCTGTAGTATCATGAAATCACAGCTCACTCACTGCTAAAATGAGGAAGTCTGACTCACACTAACCCACCCTTCTCCTAGAAGAATGTTTCCCATCCTGTGGCCAAACTGGTGACTGCAGTAAGGATACAGCTCTGGAATGAAATGGGTAGAAAGCCATATTATCCAAGGAAGTTGATTCAATGTCATTGGCAGACAAATGGGAGAGCCAAGTAATTCGCAGTGATTGAGCCAAGCTTTACCACACGTGTTCATTAAGAACATTACATTAAAAATCAGAGGCATACATTTTGATTTTGCAGCAGATTCTCTGGGGATGTGAGACAGTTGCTTAGCAACTTCTGGACTCACCACCCTTTCATTAAGTGTTGTATGTAACAGTTTTCCTCAACTACTTTGAATTTAAAAGCTTCACTGAATAATGAAGTCACAAGCATATTTAACAATAGCTCTGTATTGTTAGCATAAATAATATCCTCATTTTACTTCCTTTAGCCATCAGCAGTAGAGTCTAGAAAAACCAAGTCTGACTGCCTTGGTGTTTCTTTGCCCCACACCGCATACGAAACTGTGCCATAGTCGGTGCTAAGCATCTTTGCCCTGAAGAGCTCAGTCTGGAAGAAGCTGGGCTGAGATGAGCCAAGAAATACAGGAGTTAGCAGTTGGATTTTTTCCAGCAGAAGAGTTTAAAGGAGTTTTCTGCTAGAGGTGTCACTATTGAAAATGAAATTTTGGTATCACTTCAGTTTTGAGATTGATATATCCAGGACAGGCATCACAACAGCTTGTGTCTTTCAGTGAGACATGCAAGAATTGTTTTCTGGTGACACTTGTCTGTGGCATTGCCTTAGGATAAACTGCTAATGGAAACATGTTTAACTCTCCACCTTCAAATGCAATTATGTTTTTCCCATCAGCTTGGTGGAGGCAGACACCAATGAAGAATTGCTCCTAAAAGCCAGTCCTAACATAGGCAGTTTCTTATGAAAGCTACTTTGCTCTTTTTCTCCTAACTTCTTTCCTTCTGTTTCAGTATACTGCAGGATGTGTTGTAAATTCAGTTGTGTAGCATTTTCCAGAAGTTTTGCAATTAAATAGTGCAGGGGATGATTAAGTGATTGCTCCTTCTGTTTGACCAACTGAGACTGATCAGTCTGTTCCTCTCTTTTGCTACCCAAAGCCCTTTGACCTCCAGTGAGTGAAATAAGTGTAAATCCTGTGTGGTGCAGGCATATGCCAGCTGGATCAGATTAAGAGGGTGGGGTAATTAATTACCCCTGCAGATTAATTACAGGGAGAAAAAGGAAACAAGAAGGGACACATAGATACCATCCGCAGCACTTCCTGGGAGGAGGCTGCTAATATGCACTTAGGTAAAGGGCTGAAATCAACCAGATAAGAGCTTGTGCTATCAGCAGGGCTCGCCAGTTTGGAGAGAGCACTCCAGTGATTTTTGGAGTGGGGCTGCATAGGAGGTGTGCTCTAAGTCATGGCATAAAAGCAGAGCCTCCTGTGGCATTCTGAGGGTCCATCTCTTGTAATTTATGAGCTGAGTGACCTGGTCTGTGGGACCAGAAGCCAGGAGAGCGGCTGCAGGGTTGTGCTGTGAGTACAGGAGGTGCTGGGGAAATGTGTAAATCTCATGCTCAGCCCATAAGACTTGTCAAGCCTAGAGTAATGTAGACACTGAGGCCTTGTTTAAATTGCATCTTAACCTGGGGTGTGATTTAAAACCAAGATGCTTAAACTTGTGCCAATACCTATGTGGGCACTTGTTTCAATTTAATTTGATTACACATTTAAAGCATAATGAGAAAGGCAGTCTTAGCATGGGGGGGGAGATCTAAGTTATTTTCCCTGTGGACAAAACCTTGCTTTCCAAGTTTTCAGTTCTCATGTGTGACTTACTCAAAAGTGAATATTGCTTGCATTTTGCATCTGACCCGTGGTGAGGAAACAAATCTAGAACCATATAAAATTCAGCAAAAGTCTATGCTAAAAATATGTATTGAACCATACTGGATTAGTACAAATAGTATCAGTGAGGTCATGCAACCATCTCTTCCTCTCAGCCATTATTTGCCTAGGAAAGAAGCAGAACCTAGTATGAAGTCAGGAAATCAATTGAGCTGTAATAGTTAAATTAGGGTGTGTAAAATATCGGACTTAAAGAAGTGCAAACTCCAAATTAACGAGTGCTTGCTCTAGCACAGTCCTTCTGCTATTGACCTTCCCATTGTGTTGGGCCATCTTTTCTCTTACTGCAAAGTGCTGTGCGTTATTTTCAGGCACAGATAATAGTCCTGATCTGGTATGATCTACTGTACATTTGGAATGTAAATGGTGGCAGAGAGCAGTGGCAAATACATGACAGCAGCTGGTCTTCACTCTGTCTAAGATAGGACGGTGTATGAAAGTAATAGGTTGGAAACAAGGCAGGTTAAAGGGGATGTGCAAGGGTCCATGCACTGTTGTCCCCTTCAATTTGTCCTGAGTCAGATCCTAATTACAGTATCCTGTAATTTGCTCACTGTGTAAAGAGTTGAGGCAGATATGGGGTTCTAGACCAGTTGCAGCTTTTGCTCAGTGTTAGAGACCTTTTAGCTAGCCAGGCTTGGAGCCCTGAATGCTGCATGGGAATGGATCTTCTAGGCTAGATTTTGCCATATTTGAAGCAAAACTCCTTTCTTACAACTATCTAACAATGTGTGTTTTCTTCTATCCTGGGAGCAGTGGAGTGAAGCCCAGCAGATGATAAATGGTACCCCGGTCTATATGTACCAGGACTGCAGCGTGCTTTCCGAGGGCGACACTGATCACTGGCTTCGGACCAACTGGATTTATCGGGGCGAGGCAGCCTCCCGCGTTTATGTGGAGCTAAAGTTTACTGTGAGGGACTGCAAGAGCTTCAAAGGTGAAGTGGTGACCTGCAAAGAGACCTTCAATCTCTATTACATGGAGTCCGAACAAGATGTTGGGATCCAGTTCCGCCGCCCACTTTTCATCAAGGTCTGTAGTGCTGGGGGTGAAGGCTGAGTCATGGCTTTCTGCTTAAGCTAGTCATATCTTTCAGCTTAAACTAGGTGTGTCTTGCTGGCTGGGGGAGTCCAGGAGAACCAGCATCTTGGGAGGGGCATGGAGAGTAAGTGTTGTCCTTAGTATAAACTTTGTCCCCGGTGCCCTCTGTGATGTTCAGAGCAGTCTTTGCCACAGGAGGCACCCAAGTTTTCAAATGAGATCAGCCCTCCATCCGGCTTAACTGGACACCACGTAGGTAAGGATTCTGAAGAGTTATAACAGCGCTAGATGGTAACACCAGTTTTTCAAAATAGCAAAGCAGAGATCAAAGGAATTTGATTTGTCTTAGGTAACGAAGCAAGCTTAGACCAAGTGGAGAACAGAACCCAGTTCAGGTCTCTGCGCTCCTTGTCATTTACTCTGATTTTTCCAGGATAACAGGATCTTTTTTTTCTAAAGCTGGAGGTGATGGCTATAATGACATCCTCCCTTGTGTGAAATTATTTTGCACCACTATATTTTAACTCTTGTTTCCCCCAACATGGTGCCCTCTTACCATGGAAACATTTTAATTGCAGAACAGGGAACCTCCAATTTTTTTGTAAAGGAACTTCTGTAACCCAGTTCTGCCCTAAAAGAAGTCACAGGCCTGAATCATTTGACTGCCCTTTCCTCTGCAGTTTAAGTGGCATGTGATGAAAACAAAGAATGGTAAAGGCCACCCCCAGTCCTCCTCTACCCTCCCTGCAGCTGGACCTACCAAATGAACCTGTGCGACACCTCCACAACTCCTAAAGCTGCCTTGGGATCCCACTGCCAGATGCAGCTGCTGTGCAGATCCTTTCATCTGCCCTCCAGCTACACTGAGGGGGTGGTATCACATAATAGGGAGGGACCTGTGGTGGGGAGGATCTGTTATCAGGCTCTCTGGAAATAAAGGCCACCCCACCTGCAGTGCAGCTCTTCCACATCACATGATGGCATGGAGGCCTTTCCCACCTGCCCAAGCATTGAAAGCATCTCTCTCTCTCCCTTCCTTTGTTTGCTGAGGCAGCGGGAAGGTTAGAGCGTGGGACCATTTTTCACCCAATTATCTACAGTGCTGAAATACGTCGAGTGCTGCACGAGGAGCACCTTGCAGTGGATGATCTGATCTGATCTGCAGCAAGTACATCCTAGAAACTTGTGGCTGAAATTCAGTGGTCAGTTTAAAAACACAACTCTAAGCACTGTTGTGATTTTACTGCATATTTGTAAACAAAAATTAAAATATCACAGCAGAGAGATTTGCGGTTTTAGTTCAGTTCCTAAAGACCTCTGAGATCAGAGACGCAGAACACAGGGTACTGTGTAAGACCAGAGAATGACTGCAAAAGAGTTGAAAGTAGATGGCAGAAAGGATGGAGGCAAGACAGGATGTAGACCCAGTTGTTAACACTTCTTCCACATGCAAAGAAAGTGTGTGGCACGCTAGCATTAGAAACAGTTGACCACACAGCCTTTCTGTAAAGGAATTTTGAGAGGCATGGGTATCTCAGCTGCCTGCTCTGATGTTAATGCTGTTGCCTTTTTCTCTCGCTCAGCTCAACACTGTGGCAGCAGATCGAAGTTTCACAAGCAGAGACATCGAATCGGGCGCCATGCAGCTGAACACCGAAGTGTGCCCCATCGGGAAGCTGTCTCGCCGGGGCTTCTACCTGGCTTTCCAAAACTCTGGGGCTTGCGTAGCGATGGTGTCAGTCCGAGTGTATTACAAGACTTGCCCGGAGACAGTGCGGGGCCTGGCCCGTTTTCCGGAGACGCTGGCAGGATCGGAGGGGCTGACAGAAGTGCCTGGGGTCTGCGTGGAGGATGCGGCTGAAGAAGCGGGCTCTCCCCCAAGGATGCACTGCAGCACCGATGGGGAGTGGCTGGTACCGATGGGCCAATGCCTTTGTGCTGTGGGCTTTGAGGAAGTCGACGGGAGCTGCGTAGGTGAGTATGCAGACAGAGGCACTGGCTGTGGGCCATGGAAGAGGTTCCAGGGAGCTGGAGATCAGAGCATCTGTAAACATAAAGTGGGATCAGGGGAGTTAGTGTGGTCTGCCTCTCTCTTGCCTGCCCTCTGTGCCTGCCATGTGTGTCCTATACCTTTGTTCCCCTCCTTGGCTGCTCTTCTTCAATTGGGATTTTTCTCCTCATGTGTCAGGTGTGGGACCTGCATACACCTCTCCACTCCCTGTTGGGCTTCATCCAGGAGCCTTCAGCTCTGGAGCTGGTTTCTGGGAGCTGTAACTGTGATTGACACTGACTCACTTCGCAACTGGTTCCCAACCCTTAAATGGCAGCCTTGTTCTCTCAGGGCAGATGGGTCAGACGCATGGAAAAGTGTCTTTGTCCTGTGACTAGGAAGCTGAAAGCCGGAGCGGGGCAAGTTTCTCCTCTGTGTCCCATTCTGCCTGGACTGGGATGGCTCTTTTGCCATGGGAAACCATGTAAAGCACGTTGCACAATACAGTTGGTGCCTGGCTTATTTCTGAGGAAGAGCAATTAGCAAGCATAGGAGTCACTCGGGTACTGGAGCCACAGAGCGAGCTGGGGTTGTTGGAGCAAGCCGTGTAGGGCTCTCCCTTTGCCACAGAGGGGACAAGATTTAGTTTCTTAGGGCAACTTTGTGTGTTTGTCAGGGGAGAGGATATGTGTGGTGTTTTGGGGGATATGTATTTCTGCAGAGAGGGAGGTGAAAGCACAGCTCTGCTCTTGTCAGAGTCATATGACACAAGGCTAAGGCATATAGAAAAAGGAATCTATGCACAGCTCGCAGGGTCAGTGGGTCCCATATCTCTCTGCTTTGCTCTGGTACAAGAATCTGGTGCCTCTATGAATCCCCACTGCTTGCTGCTCATTTTTCTTGGGAAGCTGGTGAAGGTTGAAGCACAAGATCCTTGCCTTCCTCCAGCAATCCCCTCTCCTTACACAGCCCAGCCTGTTTTTCCACTTAGGTGCTGCTGAGCTCTCCCCGCCCTTCTGAGAGCACTCCCCTGGGAAGGGGCAGGGAAGCTGTCATGTCTGGACAAGCCGTGAATGCTATCACAGCACAGGTTCATTCTACATCTGTGCTTTTACCCCACTCTGCGCCCAAGTATGGCTGCAGCCAGAAGTGTCTTGTGTAGGATCAGTAGGGACTGGGGAGGTCACCCAGGAGATGAAGGGAAGAGAGGAGAACCTAGCAGGGGTAGGGAGAGGTACTTCACATTCAGAGCGCTGTCTTATTGGAGGATCAGAGGTGGTGAACATAGGTTGCCTGCTGGGGGATATCCTGGTGTCCTCTCCCTCGGTGGAAAAGACCAGGCATTGTGCAAAGGACTGGGAACAATCCAGGTCAGGATAAAGACTGAGGTGACAGTTCCTACTTTGTCTTCAGAAGATGAAGGACTTCTTTTAAACATATGAAGGGGGACAGGATGGAGGAAGACCCTCTGGCATTGTCTTCTGGTTCTCAATTTTGCCTTAAGTAGGAACCAAAAAAAAAAAAGAGCTGAACTATGATCCTTGCCTTGTAACAGGAAGGAGGACCTGACCTCTGTTACAGGACAGGGGGCAACACAGGGGCTGATGTTCTGAGCTAGATCACTCAGCCTCTCCGTGAATTCCTGGCCGTGTAAAGCTCTGCTGAGTTACATGATGGCTCAGCCATCCCATGATCCAGGAAACCCAGAGCGTTACGTCTCAGCCTCTTGTAGCCTTGCAGACTTCGCTGCTGATAAACCCAGAGCTCCATGATTTAAGTATGTAATACTCTTCAAGTGTGTAATTTACCATGCACACAAAGGCTGGCTGTGCCCCTGGTCCGTGTTTTGCTGTTTGCTCTGCAGGCTGGTGGGTGAGCCGAGCTTTGGCGTCTGCAGGTTGCCCAGTGCTTGCCGGCAGCCTCCCGATGAGCAGCACCTGTAGGAGCAGGGAATGAAGGGTGGGCCCCAGCCATCCTCTCTGCCCTTTGGTACCCAGCAGCAGTGCTGAGCGGGCCCTTTCCCAGCCCTGCTTTTCCCAGCTTGTCGCCTGCAGCGGCTGCCCAAGGGCCGGGGAAAGCAGGTGCCGGGGGCCAGAGGGGCAGGGCGGGAGCTCAGACT